CAGCAAACAGAGGAAATATTTGGTTCATTAATTCATGAACAAGGTAATCAAGAATATCATCAACAGGTACCTTTGTAAACAAAGAACAAACGTCAAAACTGATTAACTTGACAGCAAGATTGGTTAGAACAATATGCAATTAATGTTTCCCAAATGAGAAGTCATTTGGTGTAATGAGAAGATGAAATAATTCCTAACAATGGAAACAGGATTTTTGTGAGCCATTTAGAAAGCTTGTAAGAAATGGATCTCACAGAAATGATGATAGGCCTCATGTGACAGGCTTATGAGTCTTGACAAGTTCCATAGAGATATGGTAATGAAGGAGATGAGGTAGAAAATTTAATTAAGCATATTGATTAAGAAGATATTTATGGTTTCTTAAAAACTTCTTCAAGTTGCTATTGAAGGACTTGATGATGTCATTAAGAGGATTTCTCCTGAGTTTGGTGAATGTAGAAGAATCTTGAAGGAGAGATCATTCATTTTGGAAATATATTCCTTCTTGTTTAAAATAACAACTTTGTGTGTCAGTGATCACAGCGAGGTAAGGTCAAAGATTAAAACAGCCTTAGCCCGTCCAAGCCATTGCTACAGCCAATAAGACACAACGGGTGATCTTGGAGTTCACGTTCTTAGAAACAATGAGATTTACATTTAATCTGATTATACCCTCCTTGGGATGGTGGGTGTGGTGGGTGTGGCTGTGGCCGGCTGGAGGGTAGTCGTGTGGAAGCAGCGGCCCTATCAAGTACTCCTCCATATCTGCCTGTGGCAGCGACGAAGAGAACCCAACTAAATGGCTGGCACCCGATGTGATCTTGTTGACTCAAGTCGAGTCTGCAGTATGTGGGAGTATTGTATGGGAGACTAACCTGGTGTGGAGCGTTGTAGTGATGATTCGGAGTTATGGACTTAGGTTGAGGTTACGAATTGTAGATGGTGACCAGATAGGTCTAGTATTTATTGGTACGGGTAGCCAATTTAACCAAGTTGGATATGTTAAATTGTTAATTAATGTCAGTCTATTTTATATAATTAAATTGGAAAAACTGACGGCCATTAATCACCTATCGTATGTTCTCATGTGTGAGTTCCAGTTCAAACCTATTGGTACGCCTCAAGGGCCTGGGTGAAGAAAAATAGATTTTTGGCAGTAAACTATTCATGAGGTAAGTGAGATATAGTTGGGTAAATGTTGTGTTCAGATTAAATCTGGGGTCAAAGTTCATGATAAATTTGGTGGCAGGTTTTGGAACACTATAGGAGTGCAAGGAAGTGTGTTACTGGTTAAGTTGATGGGGGTGAGTTACTGGTTGACTGTTAGACGAGTGGTTCACGTCAGGTTAGTGGTGAGAACAGTGGTTACTAGAGTAAGGAAGGGTAGGTCAGGTGGGACCATGTCAAAGGGTTCACAGTTAATTACAGGGACTAGGCCATAGTGGGGCATACATGGTTTTACTTTTTTGTTTATAGATTCCTGCAACGAGAGACGTCTGAGAAGAATGAAAATATCATTAATCAATAAACGTAAAGTGCAGTGTACGTATCGCGAATTACAGCGAGTGGTTAGGCAAATTATCGTGGTAAAGGAAGGCCGAGTGGGCCGCACCATGGGGCTTGTTATATATCATTGGTGTGGCGGTAATATGGAGAACTCATTACTAAAGTGAAATCAAGCGTGAATACTACAAAAGTTCAAGAAAATTAAATTTAATGCAGAATGTAATTTAAATGTTTCAAAGCAAATAAAGAAATAACTAAATATTTAAGCGAAATATTTAAGCAGTCCACCTGTTACCAGTGATTTGTTATACAACATGGAGAGTGGCAGGCACAGTGCTTCTGCTCCTTCCTTTAGTATCCATGGTGATATTCCATCCGGGCCTAGAGTCACATCCAACTCTAGCACTTACATCCCAATTACATCCTTATATCCCCAATGGTAATCGTAAACTCCTCTAGTGGTGCCTGGTTGACCATTCCTTCTCTTATCTCTGGAAAGTCTCCTTGCTCTGATTTGAAGACCTCCTGAAACTTTTTAATGAGTTACTCGCACTCTTTCTTGTCGTTTGTAGTGAATCTGTCTACCCCTATCCTCAGTTTCATTACCTGTTCCTTCACTGTTGTTTTTCTCCGGATATGGCTGTGCAGCAATTTAGGTTGAGTCTTTGCCTTGCTTGCTTGCTATGTCGTTTTTGTATTGCCCTTCTTCCTCTCTTCTCACCCTGACGTATTCATTCTTGGCACTCCTGTATCTTTCTCTGCTCTCAAGTGTCCTGTTATTTCTATAGTTTCTCCACGCCCTTTTACTTAGCTGCTTTGCTAGCTTACATCTCTGATTTAACCATGGGTTTCTTATCTGCAATTAATTTATTTCCTTTTGGAACGGGACAAACTTGTCTGCTGCCTCCTTACACTTCTGTGTGATGTATTCCATCATGTCTTGGGTAGTCTTTCCCCTGAGCTCTGTTTCCCATGTTATATCTATTACAAATTTTCTTATCTCCACATAGATTCCCTTGCGGAATGCCAGCATTTGGTTTTCAGGACACATCCTAGAGTACATTAACTCAGTATTTGGTTTTCAGGTCACATCCTACAGTACATTAACCCTTCTTCGACCAGATACTCAAACATCAGTACACCGTGATCGCTCATTCCTACTGGGGCCTCGAAATCAATTTCTCTTATGTCGGAGTCATTCAGAGTGAAGACTAGGTCGAATCTCGCTGGTTCATCGTTTCCCCTCATTCTCGTGTGTTCCCTGATATGGTGGCTTAAAAAGATTTTTGTCGCCACCTCCAGTAGTTTAGCTCTCCATGTTTCCTCACCTCCATGCGGTGCCTTGTTCTCCCAGACTATCCTTCTGTGATTGAAGTCCCCCACGATGTGGTGTATGATGGAGTGTGTGATGGAGTAGAGTGTGTTCCTCGTGTGTGATGGAGTAGAGTGTGTTCCTCGTGTGTGATGGAGTAGAGTGTGTTCCTCGTGTGTGATGGAGTAGAGTGTGTTCCTCGTGTGTGATGGAGTAGAGTGTGTTCCTCGTGTGTGATGGAGTAGAGTGTGTTCCTCGTGTGTGACGGAGTAGAGTGTGTTCCTCGTGTGTGATGGAGTAGAGTGTGTTCCTCGTGTGTGATGGAGTAGAGTGTGTTCCTCGTGTGTGACGGAGTAGAGTGTGTTCCTCGTCTGTGATGGAGTAGAGTGTGTTCCTCGTGTGTGACGGAGTAGAGTGTGTTCCTCGTGTGTGATGGAGTAGAGTGTGTTCCTCGTGTGTGATGGAGTAGAGTGTGTTCCTCGTGTGTGATGGAGTAGAGTGTGTTCCTCGTGTGTGATGGAGTAGAGTGTGTTCCTCGTGTGTGACGGAGTAGAGTGTGTTCCTCGTGTGTGATGGAGTAGAGTGTGTTCCTCGTGTGTGATGGAGTAGAGTGTGTTCCTCGTGTGTGATGGAGAAGAGTGTGTTCCTCGTGTGTGACGGAGTAGAGTGTGTGATGGGTTAGAGTGTTTTCCTCGTGTGTGATGAAGTAGCACGTGTTGGTGTGGTAGTACTGAGGTACGTGTTGGTGTGGTAATACTGTGGCACTTGTTGGTGTGGTAGTACTGTGGCACTTGTTGGTGTGGTAGTGCTGTGGCACTTGTTGGTGTGGTAGTGCTGTGGCACTTGTTGGTGTGGTAGTGCTGTGGCACTTGTTGGTGTGGTAGTGCTGTGGCACTTGTTGGTGTGGTAGTGCTGTGGCACGTGTTGGTGTGGTAGTACTGTGGCACGTGTTGGTGTGGTAGTACTGTGGCACGTGTTGGTGTGGTAGTGTTGTGGCACGTGTTGGTGTGGTAGTACTGTGGCACGTGTTGCTATAAACAAACACTATACTCATAAGTGTGTCTATACTCATAGCTTAACCTTCTTAGCTCTTGAACTAGTTTTGATGTTTTTCTCCTTAGATGACTATACAACAGCTCTTGATGGGCCTTAGCTTCAGGTGCAGTGTTGCTCTCGTTGCCTTCACTCATGACTTGAATATATTGACTTCTGCCTCGATCAGAGTCCCTGTAATGTGTTCTCGTCTTAGTTCTCTGCTTCTTTTTCCATACTTTTTGGTGCTCTCCTTCGCTTTCCTGCTTCCCCATGGAATTAGTTGGTTACTTTGCTATCCTCGCCCATCGTCGTCTTGTGCTGAATGAGCTTGTTCGTGGCATCTTCACATTCCGAGCAATGAATTCCATCATCAAATGTGTTTTTTCATTTTTAATTTCGTCTCTCATTAGACTTCACTGAAACCTCCATCACCTTACTACGTCTGTAACTCTAATTTATGGAGTCCCTATGTCTATAACTCTCATCTTCCTCAACGGATTACTTGGTCTAACCAACTCCTTTGACTCATTATGTGCAAAAAAATGTTAAAGCAGTTGTTTAGGGTCATCGTATACTCTATATTTTTAACATCTTCCCCATTTTCTAAAACATCTGCTCAAGTGGTGCTAGTGGGTCATCTCTCCTTTTCCCTGTTGACTCTTTAATATGTTACTTCAAGAAGTGTTTATACGTAGTATTGCTCTCTATCTCACATCTTCCAGCGGGAGTCTCTAATTATCCACTCAATTTCCCTGGGATAAAAATCCAAAAGCATTTAAATCATAGCCCTCACTTTCACTATCACTGCGTCTGCCTTTTCCAATACCTTTCACCATGTTTCGATGAGTTAGTCGTATTTGTTGTAAATAAGGATGTTGAATCTAACAGAATAAATCATAAAACAAAAAATCAACTTACATGTCAAGGAAGCCGCAAAATTTTCTTTGGAATGGCTATATTAATTTGGTCAACGTAATAAAATAAATAATTTGTCTTGCGCGTGGACGGTTAATGTAAAAGATTATCAAATAAATAGTTGCGGAAAAGGCAATCCGCTTATATGCGAGAGTAAATATTTATTGAAGGAGTAAACTTACAGAGAAGTTAGGCCACTGCCAACCCTTTGGTACTCAGATAAAATACTTACTGCAGAAAAGGCCCAACACGAGCCACATTGTAACTGGTTCTTGACAGTAGTGACGGACCCATTGGTGCGCCAGTCCACAGTGGCTGGCGGAGTGGTCGTTGTGGCGGTGACCAGCACGGTGTTACTCTGGGAAGACGTGGCCTTGTATCCGTTCTTCGCAGCTCGGAACTGTTCAATTGTCTGCCATATATAGACAAGGATTTGGGATGTTTAGATTTGGGATGAGCAAATATGTTTATTTCTATTATTTATGTTTTACAATTATGATGCACAATGTATGCAAATCTTATAAACCGAATATAACAACATTTATTATGTTGGATTTAGAACTCGGGTCAAGTACTGAAACAGGTTTGGTTATTTTTTTAAATGTAAAGGAGTTTTTTACATTCTTCTAAAGCCAATAGCACGCATTGCGTTTCGGGTAGGTCCTTAATCGTAATTTCCCCCCGTAATACGGCCCGTCAAATCCTTTTGCAACCAAGTACCCATTCACTGCTGGGTGAACAGAGGAGTACAGTTAAGGACTGGCACCTAGCCACTCCTCCCCAACCAGGATATGAACTCAGGACAAATTGCTCACGAAGCGCCAGGCGAATGTGTTACCATTGGTAACAGGGGAGACCATAATAAAGGATCGGTGCTCAGAAGTAAAGGAAATTTAGGATCAGAAAGCCTTCGTACCATTCTTCCCAATATTACAGTCCAGGTCATCTTGCCAGACGAGTGTACTAACTCCTACACCACAGTCCAGGTCATCTTGCCGGACGAGTGTACTAACTCCTACACCACAGTCCAGGTCATCTTGCCGGACGAGTGTACTAACTCCTACACCACAGTCCAGGTCATCTTGCCGGACAAGTACAATAACCCCTACACCACAGTCCAGGTCATCTTGCCGGAGGAGTGTACTAACCCCTACACCACAGTCCAGGTCATCTTGCCGGAGGAGTGTACTAACCCCTACACCACAGTCCAGGTCATCTTGCCGGTGGAGTGTACTAACCCCTACACCACAGTCCAGGTCATCTTGCCGGCCAAGTATACTAACCCCTACACCACAGTCCAGGTCATCTTGCCGGACAAGTATACTAACCCCTACACCACAGTCCAGGTCATCTTGCCGGACAAGTACAATAACCCCTACACCACAGTCCAGGTCATCTTGCCGGAGAAGTGTATTAACTCCTACACCACAGTCCAGGTCATCTTGCCGGACGAGTGTGCTAACTCCTACACCACAGTCCAGGTCATCTTGCCGGACGAGTGTGCTAACTCCTACACCACACGTTTGGAAATTCACATAAGTGTGAAATTTCACAAAATATATCAAGAAATTAAATAATATTACACTGCGGCTTACACCGAATAACTTTCCGGTTCCAGTCGTTAATTCCGAGTCAAAATTGCAACATAATAATAACATACCACAGAGACTGACCATGTCAGTAAAATCGTTCACCCCCATGTTGAAAGTAGAGTTCTTCTTCTGCTCATGATCTTTGATGATCTGGAGATTAGCCTCGAACGCGTTCCTGCGACTTGCTTCTTCTGTTGAGTTCTTGAATTCCCGCTTATATTTACCCTGAGGAAATACACAAACACTTGTATTAAAGCGGCATTCTTAGTACTTAATACACTGCATTATTCCTCAGTGGACACAGGTACATGCTCTACATCTTCATCATTCCACTAAGAAACAAACACTCGTATATCTAATGATTAAACTTATATACCACAGATCTACAAGAGATTTTATTGGTTTTTAATTGAGTCAAAATAATCAAAGAAACCAATTGTGATATTATATGATGTTTATTATTTTTACCATTGGAAAACAACTTTATCATTACCTTATTTAATTTTAATTTATGGCAGTTGGTTCAAAACAATTATTTGATACTCATCTGTATTTTACTGTTAATGGTCCTAAATAAAAAAGAGGAGAAATATATATATATAAATAATAACATAAGAACATATGAATAAAGGTAACTACAGAAGGACTATTGGCTCATACGAGGCAGCTCAAATTTATAAACACCCAATCCCACTCATAAATATGTCTAACCCTCGCTTGAAATAATCAAGGGACCCCACCTCCACCACGATACGCGGTAATTGCTTCCACAAATCAAAAAACCTTGTTGCCAAACCAGAATTTACCCAGGTCCATCCTAAATCTAAACTTTAGATTTAGATCCACTTTCTAAAATCCACTTTCAAAATATTAGCAAGTTCCCTCCCTATTTCTAGTGCAAAAGAAGACTATGGTAAAGGGTCATCACAATGTTGCAGCCGCCTTCTTTAGGAACTTTCGGTCGTGTCAGGGCCTGAGGCTTTCATTATATCCAGCTCCTCTAATTGTTTTTTAACTTCCTCTGGTGTTACTTCTATTTCAATCAAACATTTTTTCTATCAGTACCTGTTCTATTAGAAGCGGTATGTGTGGGACAGTTCGGATTGTATCATAAAAACTTGATGGAAGCTTTAATTGAGTTGTTCAAACATTTGCTGATCATTCTTCGTGTAGCCTTATCCTCTTCTTTCGAGTAGCCCGATCACTTGTTCATTTACCGACAACGTCCTCCTCATGTGGCTATATAGTAGTTTTGGCTGATCCTTGGTGTTACGGTATCGCCACCTACGTACTACGGCCAGTCTACGTACTCTCAGCTCTGTCCTGGAAGAAGACTAAGTAAGCCACCGTCGATCTGCGCAGTGTGTTAGCTGCTAAACTTCGCAGTGTTGATGGAGATCGGCTTACCCGGGATTGGCTTAGGAGAGTCACGGACGACAGTGAGGTGCCTATCGTGAAGTGCTTCTAGCAGGTTACTAGAGGCTTCTGCCAGGGGTTAGCTACCCCTGTATATGGTTGTCTTGCGACCCTGATCAGCGTGTTGCTGAAGTCCTCTGCCAGCGAATTGCTGGAGAGCGAAAGTGGGGTGTAGGCACCACGTGATACTGTGTCGGTGGACTGGCCCACGTTAAAGGTTTACTCGCCAGTGTTTATCAGTACACGTGCACAAGGTACTGGACGGTGGAAAAACTGGAGATGGTGTACACTGCCAACGCAGTAGTGTCCTGCGTGAACGTGACACTAATGTATACACGTGTAGTTATAATCTATTTAATCAAATATATATTTTTAATGGTGAAAGTGTAAATATATTGGTGAAGGGAGCTGTGTATTGTTCATTCCCCCTTCCCCTCCTTTCTCTTTATTGCACTATACAACCAGTTCTTGAAAGCATACTACCGACTTTCGGATACTATAAATTACAATAAATAGGTTACGACATCAAGAACCCGGTTACTGGTCCCAAGTGGCCGTAACACTTGGCCTTGGTTGCTGTGTCATTCTTATACTGCTTTTCTGCTGCTCTGAGTTCCTGCGTATTCATTCCTCTCTCATGCATATATGTTGTGGTTCTCCTCTTTTTAGTGCTCCCTATATTTTTGGCAAGCTCTTTTACTTTTTGCGTCTAAGCATTCTATTAAACCATAGGCATTTTTTCTCTTGGATCCTTTCTCCTTTAATGGTGGCATAAATTTTCTTAAGACGTCTTTTCATCGCCTAGTTATGAAGTCCGCCATGCCTTGTGGTGGTCATAATTCTCATGGTATTCTCTCTAAAAAATTCTATTATCTTTTGGTACTCGCCCTTATGAAGAGCGAGTTTCCCACTCCCCTCTTCTCTTCCTCTAACCACAGCTTTCATAACAATTACATAATCAAAGATGAGTGCGTAATGGTCACTGGCCTCCAGCGGCACTTCCTGCTCAATGTCCACTTAGCTCTCTGTTAAGTGTTTGTACTTACCTAGTTGTACTTATCTAGTTGTGCTTGCGGGGGTTGAGCTCTGGCTCTCGACGCCTCTCAACTGTCAATCAACTGGTGTACAGGTTCCTGAGCCTATTAAGCTCTATCATATCTATACTTGAAACTGTGTATGGAATCTGCCTCCACTACATCACTGACTAATGTATTCCATTTGTCTACTACTCTGACACTGAAAACAATCTTTCTAATGTTCTCTATGGTTCATTTGGGCACTCAATTTCCACCTGTGTCCCCTAGTGCGTGTGCCCCTTGTGTTAAACAATCTGTCTTTACCTACCCTATCAATTCCTCTGAGAATCTTTTATGTGGTAATCATATCCCCTGTAACTCTTCTGTCTCCCAGTGACGTGAGGTTTAATTCCCGTAGTCTCTCCTCGTAGCTCATACCCCTCATTTCGGACACTAGTCTGGTTGTAAACCTTTGAACCTTTTCCAGTTTAATCCTATGCTTGACTAGATATGGACTCCATGATGGAGCCGCATTCTCCAGGATTGGTCTAACATATGTGGAACACAAAGTTATGAAAGATTCCTTACACAAGTTTCTAAAGGCCGTTCTTATGTTAGCCAGCCTAGCATATGCCGCTGATGTTATCCTCTTGATATTGACTTCAGGGGCCAGGACTGGCGTGATATCAACCCCCAGGTCACTCTCTCTCTCTCTGTCTCTCTCTCTCTCTCTCTCTCTCTCTCTCTCTCTCTCTCTCTCTCTCTCTCTCTCTCTCTCTCTCTCTCTCTCTCTCTCTCTCTCTCTCTCTCTCTCTCTCTCTCTCTCTCTCTCTCTCTCTCTCTCTCTCTCTCTCTTTCTCTCTGAGACTCTTGGAGTACTTCAACTTCCAAATGATACCTTGTATCTGGTCTCCTGCTCCCTACACCTATCTTCATTACATTACATTTGCTTAGGTTAAACTAATAACGTTTTGTTCGACCATTCCTGCAGCTTGTCCAGGTCTTCATGAAGCCTCAAGCTGTCCTGCTCTGTCTTAATCCTTCTCATAGTTTTGGCGTCGTCAGCAAACATTAAGAGGAATGAGTCTGTACCCTCTGGGAGATCATTGTTCTTGAGTTTGTGTATGTGTGCGCATGAATGTACTCATCTAGCTGTCCTTGCTTTAATGATTTACTTGATTTTACTTAACATATATATCACAGCTGCATGTGATAGAAGTACCATGATGCATCTTATCTTTGTTATTGTATTAAAATTCTAGAATAAATATAATGTGCATCCTTCATACAGCTATGAAACAACATTTTCATTTTTTTAATATATGTTATTGGCATATATAAATATAATTTTAAACATTAAAACTGTATATTTTAAAATATAATGGGTCAAATATTATTACAAAATCATGTTTGGCCAAATCATATCAACAAAACTGATACAATATTTTAAACTTTTGAGAAAATCAATTACAGCAATGTTGTAACTTAATTGACCCATTTATTAAAGGACTCCCAGCTGCACGCCTTACCCCTGTACCACGACTGGCCCATTGACTAAGGGACTCCCAGCTGCACGCCTTACCACTGCACCACGAAGTTTTACCGATGATCTAATTCCCTGTACTTGGCTAACTTGTATCTTTCTCTGTGTGTCGCCGCGGCTCCTGCTTGGCCGGCAGAGAGGTTGATGTATGTGGTTGCCAGGGTGGATACGCAAGTATGTCCCACGTCAACTGTCTGCCACCCTTCCAAGGGCGCAGTGTGATTCCAACTGGTCGGCCGGGAAAGCTAACAGAATCACGGTTCAATAGATTGTGGGGCTCTCTGCTGGACACTGGGCTGAAGCAAGATTTCCCTTAATGATGTCACTGACTTTGTCGTGTCTAGAGTGCCAACCGCCGATTTTCCACAGTGCAGGCCATGCAATCCACATTCGTCAGCATCTGCTTCGTCGCAAATACACCTATGAACAGTATGGATAGGGGTAGCATGGCGGAGAGCGATTGCAATACGGAGCTCCTGTGGATCAAGACGTGTGCCTGTCGCAGACATAGGGACTGCCAAAAGGAAGTCCCCTGCATGGGGAGCCTGCACAGCTGTGAGGCGTGCACGATCACTGGGGGTTGTTGCTGCCTCCAGCAAAGCTGTGGATTCTTTTGTGGTTTCTTGCCAGAAAAAAACATCGGTAAGGCTTCGGTTAACCGAAACCATCCTGGTTTCGGTTAACCGAAACCAAGATAATCAAGAAACTAACAACAATATATTGAGTACCTATGGCAATTCCACGACCACGACCAAGAGACGGCTTCCTGAACCTTGCAGGAATCAACCTCACTGAGGACCAAGTCACTCTCTTAAATCTGGGTATAAACTGTCACGTTATATCCAGACCAAGTGAGATAGCCCGGAAAGTGGAGTTGGAGATCCTGTTGGACGACATATATGACCTCGAGACACAGAAGAAGGTCACAACCAAAGACACCTTACAAGCAGAACTTATTGCGGAAGGAGGAAAGAATCGAGGCAATTACAGAAGCACCATACTGTCCCCTGAGCTCAAAGCGGCAGCTAAGAGCCTTCGTGAGAACAAGGAGATAGTCGTCAGGAAGAGGTGACAAGTCGCCAATATACGTCATTCTTAAAAAAGACGAATATCTGGCGAAAATGAACCTCATACTCTCTGACCAAAATAAATTCCAAAAGGTAACGAAGGACACTACAGCCGAATTGAAGGCAAAGGTCAACAAATTGATCGAAACTGTGAACGCCAAGAAATCCGGACTCCACCTGCCA